CAGCCATCTGCACAGCTTTGGCCTGCTTTGTGTTGGGCACCACAGGCATCTCAACAGGCATCTTGGGGGCAGCAACACCATGATCTTGCTGGAACACTTCTTCAGCCCTCTTTGGCATCTCTGAAGCTGACGACACGCCTCCAAAAGGAGCATGCTCATCAACATCACTCTCCTCCTCTCCCAATAGGAGTGTGCGCCTCTTCAAAAGGGCCTCACGAGCATCCCTCTCATCATCTGGCTTCTGGGCTGCATCCACCTTCCTCTTCAGGTGCCCATTCCCTCCACCTTCTTGGTCTGCTGCAGTGTCAACAGCTTGAGCAGGTTCAAAAGCATCAGACATCTCCTCTTCATACCACTTCAAATTCAGCCTCAGATTGCCACCAAGTCAGCAGCACTGTAGCTGTGTACACATAAAGGTTTTATGGACTGTCATTGTTGGAATGGAAGAACAACACTTGTCCAGTGCCCACTCCACCTGACACACCCTTTGACATGACTAGGAACTTTCTGGGCGGTTGCTTCATTCCAGTTCTGACTGGCGCCGCAACGGGCCTCATATTTTCCTTGCCAAGGATGACGCTAGCTACAGCATCCATCATGGGGGAACTCATGTTGATCAACTGGATCGAGCTCTAATCACAATCACCAAGTTTGGGCTGCTTCTAGCAAAAGCTGCGGGTGGAGCTTAAGATGCTTGGCCACTGATGACCAGCAGCAGTCACACAACAATGGATCACAAAATGGGTGTCAACACAATTCTTGAAATAGCTAGTTAGTCGTATTCAATGCCAAAGTCCAATTGATTTGAGCGCATGACTTTGAAGCAGAGCTTCAATGATGCAAGCATCACTGCAGCCAAGCCTGGTAATTCACAATTCAAAACTTCAAGTCTTAGCTCAAAAGTCAAAATACAGAGTGCTAACCAACAGCTCCACTGAATGGCCCCCAGCAACCACCAACCTCAGCTATGGGCAAAAGCAGTTTGACTTCATCATAGTGGTCATTGCGGAAACTGCTTGACAAAGCAACATGAAACAACACACACATGACATGGAACAGTCATTTTTTGTTGCAACCCCCCTAAATCTATGTGCAACTCCTGGATTTCCAAGAGTTCCTCCAGCTTCTGGAATTCCAGAAGCTGGTGAGCAGTGAGCAGTGCTCAGGTATGAATGAGCCAACATTTAATTTATTCTTGGCTCAAGGCCATAATTAGCCCAACGTCTCGTTATACCAGCAAGCAAGTCTGGTCCACACAGTTGAAGGAACAGACTCTCCATGAATAGAATAGAAAAGACAGAGAAGGGAACAAGCCAAACCTAACAAATTGTAGCAAACTAGAATAGAAGTTCATGGATTGATATCACTCAAGGTTGAGAAGAGGTCAACTGTTGGTTTGAGCATGCACCAAAGAACACTTGACACAATGCATCAGTGACAAGTTCGCATCATCATGAAGCATCATCAGGCCAACCAGCATCACATGACATGAAGGCATAGCCAAAGGATTTCACAATACCCTTGACACACTCAGTTGACAACGCATTCTGGAATCAAACAGCAGCTGGTTCCAATGTTACAAAACAATAATCACACATCCAGGCAGCAATGCACTGGCAGTATCAAAATGTCACAGGAAGTGCACTGCTGTACAAGAACCCCTTACCCAACCTCAGCTGTTCC